TTCCTCTTGTTGTCTAGGCTGGAGTGCAGTGGTGGCATATCTTGGCTCATTGCAACCTCCGCCTCCTGGGTTCAAGTGATTCTCCTGCCTCAGCCTCCGGAGTAGCTGGGACTACATGCGCCTGCCACGACGCCCAGCTAATTTTTGTATTTTTAGTAGAGACGGGATTTCACCATGTTGGCCAGGATGGTCTCAATCTCTTGACCTCATAATCCACCTGCCTCGGCCTCTCAAAGTGCTGGGAGTACAGGCATGAGGCACTGCACCTGGCCCCCACATCCCAGTTTTCATTCTACTTTTTTCTTGGTGCACGACGTGTATGTGCACTTCAATTTCAGTAAATGTATTCTAAAATTCTGATAAAAAATAAGTATAAGGTGAATATTTTGTACTTCACAAGGTCTTGGCTTTATCATTCCTATGAATAAGAAAATATTTTTGTACCTTTCAAACAATTAAAAATTACAACTAAAGGTATACATGACATTCCAGGATAATATCTAGTACATAAAGTATTTATAACACTGCATGTGCATGGACAAAGGTAATGTCTGATTTAACCAAATGAGTCTTCCCAAGAGATATTTTTAAGCCATAAGACAAAGGCAAAGCTTCTAAGGTGATGAGTTGTATATAGCAAATTATTATAGGAAAGAATCTATGTGGAAAAGTCTCTGCAGATTAGATGGTGAGAACATATCAACTGTGAGACCTCAGATTTATGCAATACATCCATTGTTTTTGTAAGCAACATTGAAAATGCCAAGCACTAGGAGCCTTTAAATATAAAAGGGTATTTGCATGGCTCTCTGAGAGTAAAATTAGCTTTTTTGGTTTACATCAAATATTACTTTTATAAATATATACAATTATCATTTACCAATTAAAAGTTATTCTTTTTTGTTGTTGTTGTTTTTGAGATGAAGTTTCACTCTTGTTGCCCAGGCTGGAGTGCAATGGCACAATCTCAGCTCACCACAACCTCCGCCTCCTGGGTTCAAGTGATTCTCCTGCCTCAGCCTCCCAAATATCTAGGACTATAGACATGTACCACCATGCCCAGCTAATTTAGTATTTTTAATAGAGACGGGGTTTCTTCATGTTGGTCGGGCTGGTCTCGAACTCCTGACCTCAAGTGTTCCACCCACCTCAGCCTCCCAAAGTGCTGGGATTACAGGTGTCAGCCACTGTGCCTGGCCTAAAAGTTATTCTTTATCTTAATTTACTTACCTTAATCTTATTCTCTTCCAACAAATATGTGGCCATCGACTTTGCAATTATTTCAAAGAAAAACCATGAGTACTAAAAAAAAGAAAGAAAGAAAATCTTTAACAGTTACCAAATCTTTGAAGCTTAGCAAAGTTTCACACATCAATATGGGTCTTGTCTTTGAACTTTACTAACATTTTCAAATGATCCCAAGTCACTATCAAAGTCTTACAGAATATCTGTAAATGGTTTTAGCAAAAAGGTACTATTGTACTTCAGGGTTGAGTGGTAATAGCCAAAGGAAGGGTGGGAGTCTTTGTCTCACTGTGGAGGAGTATTTTATCCCCAACATTGCTTCTCATTGCCCACACATGATAATAAGAGAGCAAACCAATTTCTAGTTTATCTTGTTACTGCTTTTAAATGCTCTATAGACAATGAATCTTATTACTGCCTGTTCTTAGCTTGGGCCCCAACCCTGCCCTTGATGTGACATTAGGGCAGCCTAAGTAGCCCAGACCTCTGCCTACATCATGTAATTTGAAGAGCAGAGAGAAGCCTCAATCAGATATACCTCAAAATACTCTTAATTCTACCATTAATAAAAGAAGTAATAAAAATAATGACAATAATAAGAGCTACCATTTCTTTTTCTTTTTTTTTAAATTGCATTTTAGGTTTTGGGGTACATGTGAAGAACATGCAAGATTGTTGCATAGGTACTCACGTGGCAGTGTGATTTGCTGCCTTCCTCCCCATCACCTATATCTGGCATTTCTCCCCATGCTATCTCTCCTCAACTCCCCACCCCCCGCTGTTCCTCCCCTATTTCTCCCAACAGACACCAGTGTGTAGTGCTCCCCTCCCTGTGTCCATGTGTTCTCATTGTTCAACATCCGCCTATGAGTGAGAACATGCGGCGTTTGATTTTCTGCTTTTGTGTCAGTTTGCTGAGAATGATGGTTTCCAGGTTCGCCCATGTCCCTACAAAGGACACAAACTGATCGTTTTTGATGGCTGCATAATATTCCATGGTGTACATGTGCCACATTTTCCCTGTCCAGTCTATCATCGATGGGCATTTGGGTTGGTTCCAGGTCTTTGCTATTGTAAACAGTGCTGCAATGAACATTCGTGTGCATGTGTCCTTACAGTAGAACGTTTTATAATCCTTTGGATATATACCCAGTAATGGGATTGCTGGGTCAAATGGAATTTCTATTTCTAGGTCCTTGAGGAATCGCCACACTGTCTTCCACAATGGTTGAACTAATTTACACTCCCACCAACAGTGTAAAAGTGTTCCTATTTCTCCACATCCTCTCCAGCCTCTGTTGTCTCCAGATTTTTTAATGATTGCCATTCTAACTGGCGTGAGATGGTATCTCAATGTAGTTTTGATTTGCATTTCTCTAATGACCAGTGATGATGAGTATTTTTTCATATGTTTGTTGGCCTCATGTATGTCTTCTTTTGAAAACTGTCTGTTCATATCCTTTGCCCACTTTTGAATGGGCTTGTTTTTTTCTTGTAAATCTGTTTTAGAAGAGCTACCATTTCTTGAGTGCCCACAATGTGCCAGGAACCATGCGTTAAATGCTTTACTTATATTTTAGAAATGAGGACTTGGAGGCTCTGAAATGCTAAGTAACTGGCCCCAGGTCACAAAACAACTTTGTGATGGATACAGGATTCTAACTCAGGTGTATCTGATCCAAAATTCTTTCTTTTGTACATTTAATTGAGGGCAAGGGGTGGGTAGGGGGGTAGGGTGAAGAAGGTTCTGTGGAGAACTTCAAGAAAAGGATGCATGGGCAAAGTGGTGGGGAGAGGATGGGTCACATGTGAAACTGATGAAAGACTAAAAGTGAAACAGGAGGACATTAAAAAAAGTATGTCTATGGCTGTTTTTTTCCTTGCTGTGTGCCGTGTTCCTACCTTTAGCAATTTGTTTATTGCTAAAAAATCTGCAGACTGTTTCAATATTGCTATCATTGTAGTAGCCAGGGTTTCATGTATCAGCTGGGCCTGAGGAGCACTTGGTTTTTCGGGTCGGAAGCTATACTACAAATAAACAAAAAAAATGAACCGTAAGACAAAATTGTCACATGAAACAAATTGCTCAGAAAGAAACTTTACTCCACAAACCTTTATGAATGATCTTAAATAACTATCCAAGCCTTCTTCATGGCACTTTGATACAATATGTAAGAGAACCCTGAAATGACAGTCACAAGAGTCAGCATGTCATGCTATAATGAATTACCATACTTTGATTCTTAAGTAAGATCATCATGTCTAACCCCCAAAACATCTAACACTGTCTGAATCATTAAAAGTGAGATGATTGCATTAGGTATAATGGTGATAGTTTAGGCATAACAAAGATTTCAACATCTAACATGCTCAGGCCTTATAAAACATATTTCTTAGATCAAAAGGAGGATACTTGAATTTGACAACCCAGATGTTACATCTGTTCATAATTCTCTGTATGTGTCTGAAGCATGGTGGTAGCTACTATGTAAAAAAAGACTTCAAATCAGGGAACTATTGATATCCCATCTAGTGACAATAAAAGGAAGAGAATAGAAAGATACAATGAAAAGCATGCCAACAGATAGGGAGAAAAGGAAGGGAGAGACAGGGCAGGGGTAATGACATGAATTATAATTGTTGGTAAGAGATTAGCAGTGCTCCTCAAAGTTTAGCATGCATCAGAAGCACCTTTTAATAGATTGCTCAGCCCCTCTCCCAGAGTTTCTGATTTTGTAGGTCAGGAGTGAAGCTCAATAATTAACAATTTTACTAAGTTCCCAGCTGATACTGATGCTGCTGGTATAGGAACCATGTTTTGAAAACCATTGGCTTAAAGCTTCTTCTATTTTCAACCACACTATTCCCAACAGCAGCGATGCACACAAATGGTGTGTGGCTGTGGTGTGAGGCCTGCTGGAAAAGGTTGTGGCAACAGCAGAGGCAGCAACGCCAGAAACTTCCAGCACTGAGCCCACAATTTAAGAATCCTATTTTGATTTCAAAATTCAGGTGCATTTTGCATTCTACTCTACAATATATCCTTGTTTGTTTTCATATAAAAATAATGCTTCCTTATTCTTTCAGGTAAAAATTGATGACTTAGGGCCACATTCTGTTAAGTATGCATCCCTAGTCACCTGTGACTATTTAAATTGATTAAAATTAAAATTAAGCACAACTAAAAATTCAGTTCTGGCTGGGGGAAGTGGCTCATGCCTGTAATCCCAGCACTTTGGGAGGCCGGGGAGGGTGGATCGCCTGAGGTTAGGAGATCGAGAATAGCCTGACCAACATGGTGAAATCCCATCTCTACTAAAAATACAAAATTAGCTAGGCGTGGTGGCAGGTGCCTGTAATCTCTGAGCTGAGGCAGGAGAATTGCTTGAACCCGAGAGGTGGAGGTTGCAGTGAGCCGAGATCATGCCATTGCACTCCAGCCTGGGCAACAAGAGCAAAACTCCGTCTCAAAAAAAAAGAATTCAGTTCCTCAGCTGAACCAGCCCCGGTTGAAGTGCTCGCTGGCCACATGTGGCTGGTGGCTGCTATACTGGACAACACAATTGTAGGACATTTACATAATTGGATAACGTTCAATTGGAACTTATATATCTTCTTAAATACATAAAGCAAATATTAACAGACATGAAAGGAGGAATATATTGCAATACAATAATAGAGGACTTCAATATTCCCACTTTCAACAATGGACAGATCAACCAGACAAAAAAGTAATAAGGAAACATTGGACTTGAACTACACTTAGACCAAATAGACCTAACAGTCATATATAGAACACTCCATGCAATACCAACAGAATATCCATTCTTTTCATGAGCACATAGAATAGTCTCCAGGATAGACCATATATGTTAGGCCACACAACAACCCTTAAGAATTTTAAGAAGACTGAAGCTATATCAAGTGTTGTTTCCAACCACAATGGAATGAAACTAGAAATCAATCACGGGTGAAACTGTCGAAAATTCAAAATAGGTGGAAATTAAACAACATGTTCCTGGGTCAAAAAATAAAAGGGAAAATTTAAAATATCTTGAGACAAACGACAATGAAAACTCAACATACTGAAACCTGTGGAATGCAGCAACAGCAGTTTTAAGAGGGAAGTTTATAGTAACAGGGAAGTTTATAGTAATGAATACCTCCATTAAAAAATAAGAAAGATCACAAATAAATAGCATCTTTGTATTATAACATTGAAACTCACATGGTGCAGTTGATAGGAACGTCATCTTCATGGGTCATATTTGTGAGAACTCGGAAGAGTTGCATAAGAATTACAGGTAGAAACTGTATCATGACTTGGATCTCCATGGCATGCAAACACTAAAATTAAGTCATTATTAGTTAAGAAAACAAACAGAAATATGATAAAATTTGCAAATGTGAAACAGCAAAAACATTAATGAGAAATACATTGACTAGTGTATAAGCTCACTTGAATGTGAGCTTTCCATGGGACAGGGGGCTTTTTATTAATTACTTAATCCACACCTCTATTTGGCACTCAGATTTTGTTAGTTTATTTAATGTTAAATACTTTACTCAAGGTAACAAGTATAATTTGGATAAACAGATTTTGGAAAAATGACAACTGACTCCTCGTAAACCAACACTCAATTGCCTGGGGCAGTGAGGAGGAAGACGAGACACATTTGGAGATGACACTGGAGATGTACCTACTAACTCCCAGGCATTCTGTATGTCTTACAGGGGAATGCGGGCCATCAATTAATCTGGTGAGAAGTTGAATTCAATAAAGAGTGGTTCTATATATAATTGGCTCTATCCCATCACCCTACAAAACGGAGGTGGTTTTGCAGTCTAACAATCTCACAATACATTTCCTGAGATGTGCTAACACTCTGTCTCCAATAAGTGCGTTACAAATGTTAAAAAGAAGAAATGTAATCCTATATACGAGAAATGATACAAACAGTGAAAGTTGTTCAATTTCTTTCTTCTTTCTTTCCTTCTCTCCACATTCACTCACTCACTCAACCAGCCAACCAAAATAAAGGAAACAAACCTCACTGAGCATCTTTCTATATCAATTCAATGTGTAGTGCTGAGGGAAATAGAGAGGTGGACAAATCAAGTCTCTGTACTTAAAAAACTCATAAGTTCTCTTTCCCAGATTCCGATTTTTGTTACGATCTGTCTTCAAGACCCTCTAATCGATGACCGAAATAATCTAAATTATTTTATTTCTAGCAGGTCTCTGTACCATTTCTCTTTACTCTCAATACATTCAACCTTATTTCTAAATTAATCTTCCTTAAATACTCGTTACATTAGATCACCTCCTGCCAAGATTTTTTTGATGTCTCCCCATAGCCTATGGCAGTAGTTCTCAACCAGGGGCCATTTCATCCCCGACTGATCTGGTAATGTCTGGAAACGGTTTTGGTTGTTACAACCAGGGGGTGATACTGACATCTAGTGGATAGAGGCTAGTGATGCTGCTAAATATCCTACAAAGCACACACAGACCCTCAAGGACAAAGAATTATTCTACCTAAAAATGTCAATAGTGCCAAGGTTGAGAAATCCCGGCCTAGAGTATTAAGACCAAGTTATTTCAGACCTTACTGGCGTTTTCTGCTTAAACAACGATCACCGTTCTTTACAAAGCCAAACTGGTATCTCTGCTTTCTTCACTGTTCTTGAATTATCTTAGCCAAATCCTGGCCACCATTTCAAGGCAAGTACAAATCCCCACTTCTGTGAAACCATTCACTTTCTCAATTGACAAAGGGAAAACAAATGAACTTCCAATAGCCAAGCACACCAAAAACAAAAGTAAACCCAAACAAATAAACAAAGGCCATGGTTTCTATCATCAAGTAGTTCACTGTGTACAGGGGATAAAGACATTTACTGCTATTTACTGGAACTAAATAATTGCAATATCAGCAGTAAATAGCATGATTATGGGATATACAAAATGCACAAAGAAGCAACTGAGTGCACAAGTGGGTAGGGAATGTGTGGTGAGGCCTCAGAGATGTGATAGAGTGAATGATAAATAGAACAGTGTCAGGTAGAAAAGAGAGATGGGCATTCCCTGCTACCAGTAGCGCTCCTCTGTCATTTATTCTCAACACTGCAGCCAAAGTGCTCTTTTTGAAATGCAAATTAGATAATGCCACCTTTCTGTAGCTAAAAACAAAACAAACCACCATGAACAAAGAGCAATCATAAGCTTCCATGCCTACAACATACCCTGCCTGTCCCTCCAAACCCATCACTTGCCATCTTCCCCCTGCAATGCACACTGTGCTATAGCTACATGGTCTTTTATTTTTCTGTCCTTCAAACATACTGATGTAAGGTATTTACACCCACTGTGATATTCTGTTATCCTTTTACATGGCTTTATCCCCTAAGGTTGTCTTCCTCTCATCCATTCAGCTTGAAATGCCATTTCCCCCAATAGGCCTTCCCTGACAACTCTATGTAGAATGTACTCCTGGTCATATTGGATTCCATGAACCTGCTCTCTTTTATTCATGGCACTCGTTTATAATCTCTGTACCGCAACTAGAACAGGTATGCTGTCTAAACCATTCCCTATTCAATTCATGGCACCCAGAGCAACGTCTAGTCCATACTACGTGATCAATACATATTTGGTGACTTACTGAATAAATGAATAAAATAAGAAAACAGGCCAGGCTTAGTGGTTCATGCCTGTAATCCCAGTACTTTGGGAGGCCAAGGCAGGCGGATCACTTGAGCTCAGGAGTTCAAGACCAGCCTGGCCAACACGGTGAAATCCCATCTCTTCTAAAAATACAAAAATTAGCTGGGTATGGTGGTACATGCCTGTAATCTCAGCTACTTGGGAGGCTGAGGCAAGAGAATCGCTTGAATCCGGGAGGCAGAGGTTGTAGTGAGCTGAGTTTGCACTACTGCACCCCAGCCTGGGTGACAGAGTGAGATTCCATCTCCAAAAAAAAAAAAAACAGAAAAAAAAAAGATAGCAGCCCCCTAGTCTACAGTAGTTCCTCAGTTCACTCAACCCTTAGCACTTGTATCCTGTATCAAATACTGGACATTTAATCATATATTGCTTTGAACTATTAATTGTATTATTGACAGACTGTCATTTAACTTATATGTGTCCTGTTCTTCAGTTAGACTGTAAGTTCCCCTATGGACAATAACCGTAAGTTATTCTTCTCTGCAAGCCTCAAAGAGCTAGGAAAATAATATACAATAAGAGCTTAACAAGTGGATGGTAAATGAATTCTTGAAACGATATCATTTATAGGAACAATAGATAGCAAGGTGTGGTAGAAAGAACATGGGACTTGTCATAGTCTCACCCCAGTTCTGCTACTGACCAGCTGAATGACTATAAGCAAGTCACTTCTACTTGGGCCTCAGCTTCCTCATCTGTTAAAAAACACAAAGTCTTGACCAGGTGTGGTGGCTCACACCTGTAATCCTAGGACTTTGGGAGGCCCAGGCAGGTAGATTACCTGAGGTGGGGAGTTCAAGACCAGCCTGGCCAACATGGCCAAACCCCGTCTTTACTAAAAAACCAAACCAAACCAAAACAAAACAAAATTAGCTGGGTGTGGTGGCAGGTGCCAGTAATCCCAGCTACTTGAGAGGCTGAGACAGGAGACTCGTTTGAACCCAGGAGGCAGAGGTTGCAGTGAGTTGAGATTGTGCCACTGCACTCCAGCCTGGGCGACAGAGTAATACTCCATCTCAAAAAAAGAAAAAAAGGAAAAAGTCTTTAGAATCCTTTTCAGCACTAAGGTTTTATAGAGGAGCTTGGCTATTTCTGAAATCACATGGTGTTTCATTGATTACCACTAGAGGGAGAGTGTAGGTCACATAAATATCAGAAATTCCTCATCTTCAAAACAAACAAACAAACAAATATGAGCACTTTTCCATTTTAAGAATATCAGTATATATTAAAATTATGCTCTTTTCCATTCCACTTAATTAAAACTTTTATAAAACTTTCCCATGGGAAAAACAAGCCTTAACAAAGCATTCATACATATTGAAGTCCTAGACATTTACCTGAAGAAAGTATTTAAAAGTTAGATGATTATTATACTTTATCTTTTTGAGACAGGGTCTCTCTCTGTGGCTCAGCCTGGAGTGCAGTGGCATGATCACAGCTTACTGGAGATTCAACCTCTCAGGCTCAAATGATCCTCCCACCTCAGCCTCCCAAGTAGCTGGGACTACAGGCATGCACCACCACACCCAGCTAATTTTTGTATTTTGTGTAGAGATGGGTTTCACCATATTGACTGGGCTGGTGTCGAATCCCTGGGCTCAAGCAATCTGCCCACCTGCGTCTCGCAGGGTGCTGAGATCATAGGTATGAGCCATTGTGCCTGGCCTATTATACTTCTTAATAATAGTTAAGAACATATAACCATATGACCACCACTTGTTAACTATCTCCCTTCTACTCTTCCAACAGTGTGTTTTCTATATGGGAAGAAGAATGACACTTTAAAAACCAAAGTCACATCATGTCACACCTTTGTCCAGAGCTCCATAAGGCTTCCTATCTCACTCAGAGGAAATTCAAACTCTTTGCCATGGCTTATGAGGCCTTGCCCGAAAAGCTCCCAGCAAGCTCCCTGAGGTAATGTCCTAACACTCTGTGCGCCAGCGACACTGGGATTCTTGCTGTTCCCTGAGCACACCAAGCCAAGCTCCCTGGGGCCTTTGTAATGTTCTTGCTGTTCCCAGCCCTCCCTCAGAAATCCACATGGCTGGCACTCTCGTTTCTTTTAGGTCTCTGTTCAAATGCGCCTTTACTAGAGAGATTTTCTCTGGTCACTTTTTTTTTTTCGAGATGGAGTTTCGCTCTTATTGCCCAGATTGGAGTACAGTGGTGCGATCTCGGCTCACCACAACCTCCGCCTCCCAGGTTCAAGCAATTCTCCTGCCTCAGCCTCTCAAGTGGCTGGGATTACAGGCATGCACCACCATGCCCGGCTAATTTGTATTTTTAGTAGAGACAGGGTTTCTCCATGTTGGTCAGACTAGTGTCAAACTCCCAACCTCAGGTGATCCACCTGCCTCAGCCTCCCAAAGTGCTGGAATTACAGGCATGAGCCACCACACCCAACCTTCTCTGGCTAGTTTAAAACAGGAACCCCTTGTAAATCCCTGCTCCCCTTTCATTGTGCTGGTTTTCTTTATACAGTTATTACCATATGAGATGACATATATATTTATTCACTTACGTGTTATTATCTGTCTCAACAAGTAAACTCTTTGACAATAGGGATATTATTTGTTTTCTTCACATACATTTCCAATGCTTAGAATGATGCCTGGCCCATAGGAAGCACTAAAGAAGTAAGGGTGGCATGAATGATTACTTTCTGGCAGATACCCTCATCTATTTTTGTTTTAAACAGAGTCTTACTCTGTCAACCAGACTAGTGCAATCTTAGCTCACTACAACCTCTGCCTCCCAGGTTCAAGCAATTCTCCTGCCTCAGCCTCCTGAGTAGCTGGGATTACAGACGTGCGCCACCACACCTGGCTAATTTTTGTATTTTAGTAGAGATGGGGTTTCGCCATGATGGCCAGGCTGGTCTTGAACTCTTGAGTTCAAGCAATCTCCCTGCCTCAGCCTCCCAAAGTGCTGGGATTACAGGTGTGAGACACCATGCCTAGCCCCATTATGTAATTTAAGTCTCACAACCACCCTACAAGATGGGCATTATTGTTACCCCCACATCACAGATGAAGAGACAAAGTCTCAGAGAAGTAACTTGGTCCTGGTCAATTACAGAGCTAGTAAGTGACAGATGTGGGATACAAACTCAGTTGATGATTCCAGAACCCATAGATTTGATCATCTCATATTACCTCTCTAAAAGAAATGTTCCTGAGTATATCATTCAGTAATAGCATATGTCCAAAGGTAAATCCTAAAGATGTTTCATTTAAAATAAAATTTCCTCAGACTTGCTATGCCTATCTTACTAAAGGAACAATTAAAAGAAGAGAACCACTGTCAGGCAAGTTATGATATGCACTGTAGTCCTAGCACACCAGGAAAAAACAGAGTCTGTGGTAAGATGTAATATTTCAACATGTGTCAAATATGTCTCTTTTTTTAGCTGGCCCATTTGTTAGTCTATCACTTGTGGACATAGGAATCATTTCACATTTCATACCAAGCCAAAGGGATTCCATTCCTCCTGGTCCTTTTCCCCACAGTATCCTCCACCTTCATTGTGCAATAAGCAGGAAGAGAAAGGCCCTTGAAAAATCAATTTATGGGCCTGAAATAAACATTTTCATGAGAGTTTCAAAATTATGATGTTGCATTGTGGCTATTACATATTCTTCCTAATGTTGCCACTCTGCTGTCTGCTTCTAAACAGCCACATGATGGAAAAATACATAATAGAAAGTATTCTCTTGAGGAAATACAGCCAAACATATTTTAAAGTGTCTGTTTGCTTTCATTTTTTGCACACCAAAATGTGGCAACAGAAAGACATGAAAAATAAACCTTTTGCAGAAAGCTGCTGTTCATTTACCTTTAAATATTTAATGAGCTCCCCTGGAACTTCTTTCGAGCCTGACTGAATCAGCTGGCAATGATGGAAGAATTTGTGCACATGCAGATCCTGGAACACAGATGGAAACAGCCATATGAAATTTGATTCATTATCCTTAAACGAAAGCTCTCTACCTCTCCCTCCTCCTGCATCTTGCAGACCTATTTATCTGGTATTCTAATGCCCAAGCTCAGCAGCTCTTGAGCACCACACATAGCAGCAAAACCAGGTAAATTTGGCATGTACCTAACCACACGGGGTAGGCCACTATTTATGCCCAATGAGCTAAACATTTATCTGACTCCGATTTTGACTAGTGTGTTCTGTAAAGTTGGGCTGCTTCTCCATTTTAATGAAATAAGCAGGAATAAAGGTCTGAACTGAAAAAGATAAAGATTAATAAAGATCAGAACTGATAAAGAAAAGATAACAGCAGGAAGTTAGCAGAACGATAGTCTCAGGCATTCAACACCCAACTTTACCATGGCACTGCACTGGCAAGGGAGTCCAACTATCCTATATGGAATCCACATACATTGATTTTGTAGACAGCATGGACTACATCAGAAACTAGAATAATGAAATGTGTGTTTTGACCTGATTCCCCTAATTACTGCTCTGTGACCTTGAGTAAGTCACCCAACCTGCCTGAGCCTCAGTTTCCTCACCTATAAAATGGAAATTATGGCTTCCACATTCCTTTCAGAGTCTGGTGAGGCTCAAATCACTTAATGAGAATAAGAAGATCATGTAATTTGAGAGGAGCTAGAATGACCTTTGTTTTTGTTTTTTTTTTTGAGACAGGGTCTTACTCTGTCTTCCAGGCTGGAGTGCAGTGGCACAATCATAGTTCACAGCAGCTTTGAACTCCTGGGCTCAAGCAATCCTCCTGCCTTAGCCTCCCAAAGCACTGGGATTACAGGCATGAGCCACTGCACCTGGCCTTATTTCTCAAGGTTTTGAGAAAATCTTGCAGGTCACATCTTCTCTACTGCTGTAGGAATCAAATGTGGTCTATTTTAATCAAACAAACTCAAGTATAAAAATTGACAAAATTCAAATGATGCAACTTACTTGAGTGTAAATGGTAGATTCTAAGTGGCTTTTAATCTTCAACAAAGGCTTTGCACCATCTACCCATTTAATATCGACATTACATTGCTGTGAACAGAAAATTGAGTTTCTGTAACATAACAATGATTAGATGAACAATATATAATACCTTTATGCATTTAACCATTTTTTTCAGAAATGATGTATTAATTTCATACCAAGAGATTACTGGAGAAAATACCCTGCCTTTAGAATAAATGTATTCTAAATCATTTTAAATTTCCAATCCTTTGCAGACTGATATTTTAATAAATTACAATAAAAATGAATTACTTAAATAATTTTTTAAAATGACACACAAAATCTGAGCCCCCCACCCCCTTTTTTTTTTTGAGATGGAGTTTTGCTCTTGTCACTCAGGCTGGAGTGCAGTGGCACGATCTCGGCTCACTGCAACCTCCACCTCCCAAGTTCAAGTGATTCTCCTGCCTCAGCCTTCCCAGTAGCTGGGATTACAAGTGCCCACCACCGGGCCCAGCTAATTTTTTGTATTTTTAGGAGAGGAAGGGTTTTGCCATGTTGGGCAAGCTAGTCTCAAACTCCTGACCTCAGGTGATCCATCTGCCTTGGCCTCCCAAAATACTAAGATTACAGGTGTAAGCCACTGCGCCCATGCCCCACTTAAAAAAATTATTGTTAAAGTCAACAGACATAAAATTACTTTGTAAAACTACTATAAATTCTAAACATGTATATTCCATGTTCATCTATGCTATGGACCAGCACTGGCCCTCAGACCCCCACTTTGAGTAACATTGTGCTAAATAAATGAGACCAACAGAATTCTATTTTTTACACATTTAATCATGATTGCTTCAACGAATGCAGTATTTTCCTACCCTTCTTGATTCTGCATCATTCAGATTCAAGTAGCCTGGGGGAAGATTGGCGGAAACTGGCAGCTGCTGCTCAAATGTGATGATTCTACCATCTTTCAGCAAAGGTACCCAGGCAAACCCAACTGCCAAGATAATAACCAACCGTGAGAAATGAAATAACGAATGCAATCAGCTACACAAATGGATGACTTCTAGGGGCCAGGGTAGGGTGGTGATGTCTCCAGGGATCGGTACGTGGGAGTTCAGGTGCTGGACAACTGAGTACTGGGGAAGGAACAATGGGTTTGGATTGACTCTGAATCCCAGCCTGGTCACTAACGAGTTATGTACTCTTATTTCCTTGACTATAAAAATGGGAACAACAACACAGCCTTTCCATTTACAGGAGTTATTGAGAAACCAGAGTGAGATAATATATGAAAACACTTTAAAACTTTAAAAGTGCATCAATATCATTATCTTTATACTGTGGGAAATATTTTTGGTAGATTTATTTTTAAAAGGCTCAGATGGCTGTCATCCATTTTACATTAAGAGTGCAGAGTCTCACGGCTGAGACTATTTCAGATAACAATCACATGTTCCAAATTTCTTATGGCAACCCTAGGTTAAGGAACTACGGAAAATTAAGGTCACAAAGTCACAGTTACTCTCCATATTTATACAAGGCAGTAGGCATAAATCATTTAGTTGGGCAGAGTTTTCCTGATTACAGAGGGAAGAGCTTTAGGTCTAGGTAGGAGAATGTAGCCAGGGAATAGTGTTTATGACTTGAATCCATCAAGAGATTTTCTCCAATCTCTACATTTCTTAACAGTTCTCCCCCCAAAGAGCCTTTTGGCTTTTAATTAGAAAACGCATCATGTTCTAGCTAAAAAAGCCAGAGCCATCTGTGTTGTTCAAGTTGAGTGGTGTCAGTATTTCCATTATAGAGATTACTCTGGGATTCAAGTGTTTATAACTCAGCCATAAAAAAGCTTGCTCTGGACTGGGTTTTGGCAAATGAGAGAGGGTATTGGCTGGAGAACAATTTTTAAAGCCACTGCTTTCTGATTCTTTAAAATTCTTCGTGTGACTCTGTGTGTGTGTGTGTGTGTGTGTGTGTGTGTGTGATACTGTGAACACAGAAGTCAACACAAATCTGGTTACAATGTTTTCATTTATGTGTTTAATTTGGCAAATGCTTTAATTCTTAAAAGGAGACTAAAACATTGCTTCTCTAAGTAGACTAAATGGCTTTCTCAGACTACGAAATGTGCCTGACGGGCATCTTTACTAGTTCAATGACAGAAATGGTTTACCCAGACCTTTTCTATTATAAAAAGCAGAGGAAAGTAACATGAGCAGAAGCGCCATTCGAAATGACTCTGTCAAAGTAGTTAAACTAAAATCTTGACAAATGAGAAAAGATTTCCAGCCCAGAAAATAGGAAAATATATTTCTCATTCTTAGGCAACATTTTCAAATAGCGATTTTTTATTGAGACCTCACTCAGATATAGCATACATCTATTTAAAGTGTACATGTAGTGGTTTTTAGTATATTTGCAAAGTTGTATCTCCATGACCGCTACTTAATTCCAGAACTTTTCATCACCCCCAAAATAAACTCCATAGCCCTTAGAAGTCACTCCCCATTTCCCTCTTCTCCCAGCCCCTGGCAACCAATAGTCTACATTTTGCCTCTGTGGGATTGCTTAGGCAACATTTTTGTACTGTAAATTAATCAGAGCACGACCAAGTGTGTCCCCTATTCAAAACTCATAGAGAGCACTTGGAAGCTGTAAAGGTACCATGTCAAGCACACCATCTGGCTCAAAGGTGGGAAGCCACTTAAAGAATGGACAGTTAAAAGTGATGAGTGGCACATGGAATAACCATTTAATGTTCCACTGAGCATCTTGCCCACTTCTATCTAGGATTTGGATAACAAATCATTAATTTAGCTTTCAGGATGTACACATGGTCATGAGTTCTCATCATCCTGCTAGTTTTCTTCTTAATCATGAAAGCCCTTACCCTGAATGAACTGCAATTTCTATGGGGATAAAGAAGAGGTCCATAGTACCCACAAAGGGAACTCCCTCATATTCACTCCTGCTGCCTGCTGGGCATCACTCCAATGTCTCACTAGCACCTAAAACTCAACTGATGCTGTCCCAAACCTGCCATCCCCACTCACAGTTTTGCAACTGGCAATACCTTTTTTCCAACCACCCAGGTTTGAAACTTCACTGCTAACTAAATCATCTCTCTCAAAGCCAATCACTTGCCAGGACCACTATATTCTTCTTCTGTACTTCCCTTTCTCTCTGTCCCCCTGCTACTGCCATAGTGTGGCCTCTTCCTTTCCCGGACCTTTAAAATAACCCTCTTACTGGTGTTCCTTTCTTCCTCTTCCTGCTGCTACTCGCCTTGCCCATTATACTGCTGCCTGGTTGGTTTTCCTGAAAAATAGCTCTAATGTTTAAAACCCTTCAATAGCTCCATTGTGATGACAGAATAAAATCAAATCCACAGCCTGGTATTCAAGGCTTTCCAAAATCTGATGCCTCCTGTTCAACCTGACATCCTATGATCTCCCTCCTAGCACCCTGTGCTCCAGGCTTAGTGAACCTCATGGTTCCCTGTCCATGCCCCTTAATACTCTGCCTCTGTACAAGCTGTTCCTTCATGATCCCCTGCCTTCCTGTCATTGTTGCATTATCAAACCCCACTCAACCCTTTAAGGCCTTACTCAAACACCATCTCCTCCTAGAAGCCTTCTCTGATTCCCGGCCACTTGTCCCTTCACCAGCTGAATAACTCGCTCTTCTGAGTTCACGTGGCACTACTTGCTTAAACATCACTTTCTATTTTGTATTATAATTGTTTACGCAGGACTCATTTCCCTTAGTAGATCATAGCCTCACTGAAGATGAGATCTGTGCTTGATTCTCCACTGTATTCTCCAAAGTATCTACTATAATATCTTGTATATAATAAATACAGTTTGAGTATCCTTTATCTGAAAATTTTTTAGGAACAGAAATGTTTCAAATTTCTGATTTTTTTAGATTTTGGAATATTTGCATTGTACCAGGTGAGTATCTCAAATCCAAAAATCCAAAATATGAAATGTTCCAATGAGCATTTCCTTCGAGGATCTGGCCATTGCTCAAAAAGTTTCCAATTTTGGAGCATTTTGGACTTGGGGATTTGGGATGCTTAGCCTGTATGCAGAAATATTTGTGGAATGAATGAATGAATGAATGATACAGACTAGCCTGGATCTGAGTCTTAGGACATGCTGATGTTCATAAAGTGCTTGTGATACAAGCTGTGTTCACAAGGCCTTCTTTTTCATGTAAAGGTGCTACCCATTGGTTTACCTAAAGCCTTGGTGAATGGGCCTATGATGGGAGCTTCGCTACTAAAGCTTATTCAAGTTTGTTAAATCAGTTATCTTCTCATTAGAACCAGTCAGCCCCCAACCTCCCTCTGCCTCAGAGATGTCCCTGGCTCTGGGCTCACTTCCCTCTTCCTCAGTGAGCAGAACTGGAAAATTCTGGTTGCTGGGCAATTCTACATAAAATAACAAAAATACTGTATCACATTATGTGTTTCTCTTTGAGAATAGCAATATTACTTTATGTTGCTTATAGTAGTCTAAGCACACTGGCAAGCACACGGACAATGTTATTTGGTAGAAATGACACTAAAATGAACATATAATAGGGCTTTTACCAATGAACTTCTAAAATCAGAAATGTGGTTGATATGGTTTGGCTGTGTCCCCTCCCAAATCTCAATGTGGATTGTATCTCCCAGAATTCCCATGTGTTATGGGAGGGACGGGGCAGCGGGGTGGGAGGGGAGTAATTGAATCTTAAGGGCGGGTCTTTCCCATGCTATTCCTGTGACAGTGAATAAGTCTCACGAGATCTGATGGGTATATTAGGGGCTTCTGCTTTTGTTTCTTTCTCATTTTTCTCTTGCCACTGCCAAGAAGTGCCTTTCACCTCCCACCATGATTCTGAGGTCTCCTCAGCCATGTGGAACTATAACATCCAATTAAACCTCTTTTTCTTCCCAGTCTCAGGTACATCTTTATCAGTAACATGAAAACGAATTAATACAGTGCTTTTTGGTCAAGGGGAGAAGTGGTCTATAGTCGATGAAAAGAGGTTATATTCCAGACAATTCCATTTCAAATAACTGTAGAGAGAGACATTTAAAGAGTACACATACCTGGAGTTTCAATTGTGTCTTGCTTTTTGGTTGTTCCCTTTGTGTTAATTTCACAACTTACATGATGAAAAGTGAAAAGCAAATGATGTTTTTGATGCAGGTGAATGGGAAGCTCAATTTTAATCTGAAACGAAAGCAAAATTACACATGGCATTTTTTTTTAATTCTCAAGTTGAAACTGTCAGACACTTAGTTCGGCTTCATCATAGTGTTCCAAAAATACTTCCTAAAGGACTGGCTGAGTGGCCAAATAGTGTATCATTTAAATATACTCCAAATGCTTTCTTGATCAGTTTCAGTTTGACAGCAATATTCTGAGTTGTGAGAGTTGATTTATTACTTTTGTTGGAGAGTGCAGTGGATTCTCCTGGATTCAATTTTGCAGCAGAATTTTCTAAAACACTAAGTCAAAACCACATCCCCACAACCCAGGGATACCATGTAACTCAATCTGTGTCAATGAATGCAACCCATTTAAAATGAACACTGAATTTGAAAGGTTGCCTTTTTTCTAAGTTGTTGCTCTCTTTTGTGTGAAAAAACGAAGCCATGACAAATAAATATGCAAAAAGTAGCTATTGTCCTATGGTATCCACAAATTACAGTTTATAGAAATTTCTCTAGAAGAAAAACACAACTTTGCTCTTAAAGATGAAATTATCACCCATGACACATAAATTTAGTTTAAAATTAATGCTTGTAATAAAGTACCACAATTAATTTTCTAATCAGAACCCAACTGAATGTTTGTAATGTCTCCTGGAAGTATGTAAGAGACAAATTACAGATTTAAATGATTTAATGCACAAGCATATACCCACACAGGTACACATGCAAATACTCTCTGTCTCTCTCAGTCAATATACAGTGATTGATTGAAAAGCATGCTCATGGCCCGGCTTGGTGGCTCACACCTGTAATTTCAGCACTTTGGGAGGCTGTGGTGGGTGGATAGCCTGAGGTCAGGAATTCAAGGCCAGCCTGACCTACACTTTCAGAGGCCGAGGCAGGTGGACCACCTCAGGTCAGGAGTTCGAGACCAGCCTGACCAACATGGAGAAACCCCATCTCTACTAAAAATACAAAATTAGCTGGGCGTGGTGGTGCATGCCTGTAATCCCAGCTACTAGGGAGACTGAGGCAGGAGAATCGCTTGAACCTGGGAGGCAGAGGTTTCAGTGAGCCGAGATCACACCATTGCACTCCAGTCTGGGCAACAAGGGCGAAACTCCATCTCAAAACAAAACAAAAAAAAGTTCATTTTAGGCATCCTAAAAATAATGTGGGTTACTTACTACATGATCAAATTTTCTGTAGTGACTGATGTTGGTTATAGAGATACACAAACAACTTGGTGATGGACATCTGGCCCAATTATCATTCATACAAGGCATGGTTTTGATGTTATAACTAATGTCTGTTTTAGGTATATTTCACTACAGAACATGCCTTTTCACAGCATCCAGACCATCTGGGTATGTAATGCTCTGCTGCACATAAATATGGGCATGCTTCCTCCCTGGGTGGCAAAAATACAAGGCAATACTCTCCCCCTCCCCATCCCCCATGAAACTAGGGACATTGGAGAGAAAGAAATGAGCAAGGCCTAAGGCTAGAATATAACGCTTCCATACAACAGCAGGTGGACATGGCAAAATCACCACAGCAGGGGGGATGGTTTCAAACCAAGCCAAGAATGGAGACATGCAGACTGAGAAGCAGCGACAGTAGAGAGTCTGGGATGGAATGCCCATCCAGCTTCCATAGAGACATACAGGAATTAAAAAGGAGACTACAGATTTGGACATGCCAAATACATACAGACCAGAAGTGACTGTGACAGAGATACTAAGACATGCTGAGAAGCACACAGAGATGTAGAAGTGGAGAAGTAGGAAGAAGGAAAGAGGGGCAGAGACAGGGCTTGGGAGACAGACATGGTTTGAGAGGCCGAGTCAGGAGGGAGGGAGCACAGAGACTCAGAGACCCCACCAGACCCCTTCATCTGCTTTGCACCGAGGCACGCAGGCCAGCCAGTGGGATTCTCGTGGCCCAGCTGTATCACTGTCTCTCCAAGTATTTCAGTTACAGAGAGGCTACAGCTTACCACGTAAAACCACAAGGGGAAAGAGCTAGAAGGGCCTTCTGAAAATCTCTTCTGAATTTCTTATTTTAAAGTTGAGGAAATAGAGCCTCTGGAGGGGAAAGTGACTTGGTGTTACAGAGCCAGTGCTGTCAAAGCTAGGAGGGCTAGAATCCAAGCACCACTCTCATGTTTGTTTCCTGCATTGTGATCTCAAGCCGAAGAGTCCCTTAAATTTGGAGGTAAATCTTCTACTACCATCAAAAGGCACCAAGGAGGCCAGTAGCACTCTGTTTTATTGCAATATTTTTTGTTTTCATGCAGGTAAAATGATGGAAATGATTCAAAGAGAAAAAGAATTCCAACCACTGCATTTTAGAAATGTCAGGATAATATGTTTTTACCTCATCATAGAACTCTGGATTTTGATTGTGATGCGAGACAACAGCATAAGCATTTGTGGTAAAAACGGACCCTGCAGGTTTTCCATAAATACACTGCAAAAGAAGGAAACGGAGTCACCACTCTAAATGCAGGTCTTTAAATGTGATGCCATGGAACCACATATAGTTAGAAGCATCTGTGAATACAGGGCCATGGCCAAGCCCACCTGGCTGTCACCATGAGCCTGTAAATTCCCAATCATTTACACAGTCACTCCAAACTCCAAATCAGATACCATGTAACTTCGCTGTATTGATGCTTCTGAATGTCTGGCCATCAAAGAAACACAGCCCCAAACTAGTTGACGGTAAGGAGCTGAACAGGCCTGGTCATTTGGAAGGGAGACAGTTGTCTCAAACCAGGCCTGTAAAGCTTACTTCTCTCATGCTACTTGCATTTCTTAATATAAGAAGCTCCCCCTCAACCAGTCAGCAACATTTGTTAAATGCTCTTTGTGCAGTGGGCAAGGCGAAGCGTGTTTTAAAAAGCTCGAGCAGACACATTCCTGACCTAAAGGAATTAAAAAATTGAATGTCTATTAAGCTACAGACAAGCTTGCTGTGCTCTCACATTTTTAAATGTGGCACTTTATGAGCCACATTAAAAAATATCACTGGCTTTCTGTTATACCAATAATATAAATGTAAGGCTTTCTATGGTTCCATGGAAAGATCTGATTTCATTTCTAGTGGGAGTTTTTCACTTCTATAGGCCTAATAGGCTCAAGGATGAATATGGAGTCAGCATGCCAATGCACTAATTGCCTCACTCTGTTACTTTAGAGCAAGCAATCCCGGCCAGCTAAGAGATGAAATTGAAACTCCATATGAGTGAATAACCAACTCTTCTTAAATATGGTTATGAAGGCAATTTGCAAGAACTGCTGAGAAGTAACCCAAGTATCACTGGTCTACAAAAGGATATTGCATGGAGGAAATAGAACAGTTGTTCTCATCTCCACTGAAGGGAGAACCAGAGAAAATATACAGAATCTGAGCCAGTGAATCCTTAAGTTTCTCTGTGAAAAAAAATAAAATAAAATCTCTTTTCAAAGGTAAGGGCTATTATTCAATTACTTAGTCAGGGGCATTCCAGCCTCTTTCCCTAGGTGGTTTGAGTGTAAGAACAGGCATCCATCTGTCTGATTTAGGCTCATGCAAGAGAAATGGGGAGCTAGATAAACAATTTATGCTGGCTAGATATTCTGACTTCTCATTCAGGTCCCTGATTGATGGGTTACAGTTATAAAGAGTAAAAACATAAAGGCACTGTGGTGTGACAGGTATTTAAGGATTGCTGTATCAGATAAGGCTGAGATTCTGCTTTTCATAGACCACAGTCCAAGACTGGAGGCACCATTTGGCCAGTCATGGAGTAGAAGTCATATCTCAGATCAAAGCAGTCATGCTGTGCTTCTGTCAGCTCAAAGCCTGTTCAGATTTCAAGGAGAAAGGAGTTTATAGTCCCTTGATGGTTCCATTATAAACTATCAGGTCATAAGAAAACGACCTTGCAATTGGGCATTGAAGCAACTGCAAAATCAGAGTGGAGCAAAAGCCAAAACCTGGTATTTTTAAAGCTATATATGTTCCTAGCTTATTAATATTTAAGTCTTATAGTTAATATGTAAGAGTAGAAAAGAAAATATTACATTTGTCACTTTAGAACATTTTCTTTTTGATGTTGATACAAATTAAACTTAGAGCATAAGACTACTGAGTACCAACATCTCCATCCCTACTAAAAATATATGCCGATCAATATCGTACACAAACCTTTAGAGCACTAGTGTCACTTTCATCTGAATCCCGGAATTCCACACAGACTGCAATGTTCCTTGCCTAAAATGATTAATCAGCCAAAATGAGTCACACAATTAGAAGATTATAAATAATATTTTATACTCCAAAAATGTATAGTTTACACGGTTACCTTGGCAAATGTTTTCTGGCTATCATATTTTAATTGCAAGGGATATACATACAGATGGTTTTTGTAAATAGTAAATGGATAACAATATTTTGTCATTTCTGGAACAAACTCTTCAACCTCCACAGTAATATTTTGACAATTCTTTTCAAAAGGCTTCAGGGGCACATATGAAGAAGTAATACAATCTATAGTAGAGGAAAGAAACAGGCAAATATCATTCAATTAAATAATCATTAACACATTCCTGCATGTATAAAAATACACATGGATTGTATTCTCAAAGAGCAATTTACAAAACATAATTCTTAGTAATTGACAAAAAATCACACAACAACTTTAAGAACCCAAAAGGACAAGACTGAGTAGTCTGATGCTGATTTTAGCGGAACCCTTTATACCAGACGTGGATTGCTATTTCGTTCTCAATGTCGAGTGATTTGCCAAATATAACACATCATAATTTTGACAAATTTAAACTCTGCAAAGAAATTCATTTCATTTTCCCTCCTGTGGCAGCAATTTAGCTTTCGCTGCAAATTTTTATTGGTATCAGGGAAGTAACAGTAAATTTATGCTTCCAATTAGCTCATGGCAAGTCACTTTTAAAAAGTTAACTTGGTGCAGGTGCAAATTTTCACCCAAGAAATAATGGAGGCCTTTTGAAACTACAGATCTTACGATGTGTTACCAATAATAAACTCAATACTCCTGACCGTGAAAAAATACTAAGCCTCAGAGAAGTTCAGCAGCATATGTTATTGAAATAGTCACTGTAGTGAAGGTTATTCATATACTTAAGGGGCTCTAAGAGTGCCGGTCCTTACTGAAGAGCAGTAATGATGAAGAAGAAAGACCTAGGGAGAGTCGGACCTGGGGATACTGTATTTTTTGTTGGATTTGCTTTTCTGATTATTATAGTCATGCATGCCTATAACAGAGCATCTGCAGGTAGTAAACGTAGACAGGGACAACTGCTCATTCCACTACCCAGAGATAACTACTGTTGAGATTTTGGCTATTTAGAGACAGAGTTTTGCCCTCAATGGCATGATCTTGGCTCACTGCAACCTCCGCCTCCTGGGTTCAAGTGATTCTCCTGCCTCAGTCTCCTGAGTAGCTGGGATTACAGGCATGCACCACCACACCCAGATAATTTTGTATTTTTAGTAGAGACAGGGTTTCTCTATGTTGGTCAGACTGATCTCAAACTCCCGACCTCAAATGATCCACTTGCCTCAGCCTCCCAGAGTGCTGGGATTATAGGCATGAGCCACAGCACCCAGCCAAGATTTTGGCATATTTTCTTTTAGTCTTGTTTCTATGCATATTTTATATAGTAATATGAAAATCCTACCCTATGTATAGAACTTTATCCTGATTTTTTTTGACATTTATCTGATGTCTCATTCCATTAACTCTTCATAAACATTGTTTTTAATGGCTGCAATAGAATTTCATGGTATCAGTGTAGCATCATTATCTTAACCACACTGACAGTGTTGGATTCTGATTGTTTCCAGCTTTCCTCCAATATAAATAACACTGCAAAGAACATCTTTATGGATCAATTCCTGTCTAGATTTCAAATTACTTCTTTGGGAAAAAATAATCCATTGTACTCCTTAGATGTTTTAAACTATAAAGTGGATGCCACTCCTCTGTTTACTATCCTTTACTGACTTCTCACTGTATTTAGAATGAAATTCCATTTTTAAAGGGATTGCTGCAGTCAATACAATTCCTTACATGACCTGATCCTTTCTATTTTATCTCCTATCTCCACTGTTCCCATCACATACTACACTAGAGCTACATTGGATTCCCTTATGTTCATACAAACCCAGCTTGGCCTCACCTCAAAGTCTTTACAACATATGTGATGCCCTCAATCTGAGAATCTACAGTCCCAGTCATCACATGCTGGCTCTCTTTCTCACTCTTCAGTTCCCAAGCTTAAGAGAGGCCTTCCCTGGCTACCATTTTTACAGCTGCCTTTGTGATATGGTTAGGCTTTGTGTCCCCACCCAAATCTCGTCATGAATTGTAATCCCTAGATGTTAAGGGAGAGACCTGGTGGGAGGTGATTGGATCATGGGGCGGTTTCCCCCATGCTGTTCTCATGATAGTGAGTGAGTTTTCATGAGATCTGATGGTTTTATAAATGTTTGGAAGTTCCTTCTTCATTCACTATTTAATCTCATCTGCCTCCACAAAAGGCATGCCTGCTTCCCTTTCTGCCATGATTGTAAGTTTCCTGAAGCCTCCCCAGCCATACAGAACTGTGAGTCAATTAAACACCTTTCTTTTATAAATTACCCAGTCTTGGGTAGTATCTTTATTGCAGTGTGAAAAACGGCCTAATACAATTTGTTTGCTTGTATACTGTCACTCCTTCTAGCCTTTAAACTCCCTAAGTTTAAAGCACCTAGTTGATAGTCAATAAATGTTTACTCACTAGATAGTTATTTAGTGAATGAATGCATAAACATACTCTCAAAATTGAAATGTTGTACTTACGAACATCTATGAATATCTATTACCAAACCATACTCCTACTCATGGTAGGTGATAACACTTCGCGCCAAAACCTAGCCAACATTAGGTAGCTTCACTTTAAACATGTTAATAGATTTGATGGATGAGCAAAAGCATATTGTTTAATTTGCCTTACTGGCATTATTAGTGAGATTGAATATTTTTCACATATTTACTAGCTACTTCATTTTATCTCTTGCAAATTGTCTTTTGTGTCTTCTATTTTTCTCCTGGGATCTTGGATTTTTGTCCTTAGGTAAGAAAAGAAATCCTTCTCCTTTTTCATCTTAGTTGATGACAGAAGTAAAAGTCACCCAAGGCAAAAGGCAATGGAACCTGACTGGGACACACTCACAACTTCATATATATAAAACAGCATCTGATAAAATCAACTCAATTCACTTCCTAATCTGTAACTATTCATCGTGCATACTGGGTTGAAAAGCATTCCCACCCACCCCCAGTCAAAATTCATGTCCACGTAGAACCTCCAAATATGACTTTATTTAGAAACAGGATATTTGTAGATGCTGTTAGTTAAGATGAGGTCATACTAGATTAGATGGGCCTTAAATCCAATGACTGGTGTCCTTATAAGAAGGTCATGTGATGACAGAGGAGAAGTTGGAGTGGTGCAGCCACAAGCCAAATGATGCCAAGGTTAGCTGGGAGCTACTGGAAGGTAGGAAGAGGCAAGGAATGGCTCTTCCCTAAAGCATTCAGAGAGAGCATGGCTCTGCGAACACCTTAATTTTGGACTTCTAGCCTCCAGAAATGTGAGAGAATAAATGTTTGTTGTCTTAAGCCACCCAATTTGTAATAATACTTTGTGTGACAGCAGCCCTGGGAAACTAATACACCATGTAAATCTCAAGAAAAATACTGAAAGGATAACAACCTGACATTCAAACATTATGCTTAAGGTTTTTGCAATATGTTCTTACTTGATAAATCCACAGGAACACATTCTATTGTGATGTTTAGCTGCCCAGGAATAATCTGCAGTTTGGTCTTTTCTGGCCTGGGTATAAAATAATAATATTTTTGAGTTAAAAATTATGATTACTGAATGCACTGGTTACCCTCTATCCAAACTTAAAATGTTAAACATTCTGTTTTTCCCATATATTACTCATATTCATCATTTTAAGAAACTGAGAATTCATCTATTATATTTACTTATTGCAGAAACACCAAACACTTACTTCTTATATTCTGAGAGCAACTTGAGAATGTCTTCACTTGAGAGCTTGCTACTGTCTTGTTTATAAAGAGGAGAAAATCTCCCATCCAGATCGAGGGAGCCTTGAGTATCTTTGAAAATAGGTCTAAAATAGCAACAGAAGCATTTTTTAAAATAATATTCCATGTTGATAAATTAAGATAAAATTAGCAATGGTGGGAATGTAAAATGGTGAAACCACTTAGGAAACAGTCTGGTGGTTTCTTGTTAATCACTCATCACTACAATCCTGCAATTCCACTCCTAGCCATATTTCCGCATGGTACATGAATATTCTTAATTTGTGCAGCAGCAATTTAACAAAAATTTATATAAATAAATGTTCACAGACAATTTATTTGCTATAGGTCCAAACTAGTAGTAACCCAGATATTCATTGAAAAGTGAATGGGTAAGCAAATTCCTCTATATTCATACAATGGAATACTACTTGAAATGAATTACTGATTCACACAACAATATGGATGAATCTCAAAAACACTGAACACAAGAAATCAAACATA